CGATTAGATTGGGTAGACTCCGAGATGAGGTAGTATGTGATTGAGTATGCGTTGAAGCGCCGGCGACTCACTCGAAGATTGAAGAAACCCTAGCTAGAAATGCGAAAATCAAATTTCCGTTAGGGCTAAGAATCCTTGCGCTAAGATAAGGAAGATTTCGGATAGCTTAGGGCGATGCGTACAAGCGATGATCGGTAACGGCACTAAAGCGAACAGACTTGATTTGGAAGTTTGCAAGAAACGCATGCACGTAATTGCAGAATATATGCTAGCCTGAACTTCAAGGTACCTCCTACGGAGGACGACTTGCCAAAAGTGCCTTAGAGAAGAATGGCAACGGACGCCCGGCCTAGACAATTGGGTCGAGCAAAGTGACAGAGTTTTAATGGCGAACAGCTCCTTGAAGTGGATGTATGCCGAACTATCAGGTAATACCTGAGCTAATGGGTAGCACTGTATAAAAAAGCATATATATATATATATATATATATATATATATATATATATATGTATATATATATATATATATGTATAAGTTTTTAGGACTTGCATCTAATATAAACAGTAATAGATATATCAACTTCTCTTTCATGTGCTATATCATTCCTGGCAACCGTGGTTATTATATACAAATGTTATTTTAAGAACATTTATAGCTTTGATTGGGAGCCAAAATTGTTCACAAGCTCGAATGTTTTTTATCCAGTTCTACAAACGCTTCCTCGATAGTAGAAGTGAGCAAGTCACGATTGCTTCATTTTCTTAGGAAATCGAAAACCCGATTCAATTTCTTCTTTTCTTGGTCTCAAAGGGCATTTGCCTGGCTTTTAGGATACATGCTTTGTCCGAAACCTTGCCTTTGCCGATAATGCGTGACAAGGTAACCCTGAAAACACCTGAAATTGTCTCGCTGACCGAAACATCACAACCATCAGAAATGCACTTTTGGCCTGCGCAGATTAATCCGCGAGTTTGCAATGCTTTTATCTATCGTGCGCCTTTCGTTGAGCTATGGTGAATTTTAAAAGAATTAATGTCTGCTACAGTCGTCAGACATCGTGTACTGAAACCTGCTTATCATCCTTCTGCATAGATCTGTGCATTTTCTAAGTGCACTTTTATCAAATAATATGCATGTATAGGGCGCTCCTCACGCATATACCTTTATGGCCTTTCTTACATAAAAATAAAGTTTCCGTTGGTGTTTTGTTTTACCTTTACTGAAAAATACTTGTTCACTTCAATGGCTATGAGGGTTTTAGAGCTATTCATTTAACAATATCGAAGCCATCCGAAACAGGTTTCTTGAATGAGGCGTGTGACTCCTATATGCAGAAAGATAGTACTTGAGGACACTGTTTCTAATAGCCGTCATTAGGGGGAGTTCTGCGTCTATTTTGGACTTAAAGGGATAAGATGATTGGATAACAATGGAGATTCAGATCCATTCAGATAGCAAACTTGTGATGCATTTATTCGTAAAAATTTTAGTAACAATTTAACAATTGAGCCTTTCCATGATTACTTACGCTCACCGGCGAGGTAATCTCATGTGATGCCTCTATATTATTATTACGCCTTTATATTATAAATACAGAGCTATGGAAAAAAGAAAGAGTAAATTAGTTATAAAATGTTTCTCCAAAAACAATTTCAAATAGAAGCATAAATTTAATCTCCCAATTCTGAAGAAGGTCTTTTGTTTCATAACGCCATTGTCCACCTTTACACGCGAGATGGGAGTACGAAGCTATTTCGAGATTTTTGGAACCGACACACGAAGTGCCAGTACCCAAAGAAAAAACAAGCCTCGCTTTAGAGACGTTTTATACCTCTATGTGTACACGTCTTTATATAACCTTGTCATTAAGTCGCGTGCTTAGTTCGCTCGACGGAAGCTTCTAAGTGTTAATGTATGCACATATGAAAATACCGTAAAAACGGTTTCATATAGGATTCGTCTTCTTCGATGTCACTTGGTACCCTTAGCTCAGTATAAGCATATTAACTTATTTCAGAAGCTTCAGGCCTCCCCTTCCACCTCCGCCGTACCTGAAGGAAGAGAAAGTGTATATGGCCCTTGTAGAAACTTACCAATTTTGGCACGTTCGACCTTGTTAGTATTATACATTTTTGCATCCGCGCTGGCCTGCAGAAATGTTCACCGCATTTAATTGCTGCTAACTCAATGTAATTGTAGTATTAGACCAAGGTCTATTCTTATCCTTTCTCGCTCGTCTGTTTCCGTGCACCTTCAACAACAATCATTGCACAACATAGGCCGATGTTTCTTGTTCATATGTGCCATTAAGCCACCGCTTGCAAATAGCCTTACTATAAAAATATTTAATACACCGTAGTTAAAATTTTTATTTGATCGAAAATATTAGTGGAACCTCTGCCCATAGGAGTCTCTGTTAAATATCGCAGTTTCGGCAGAGAGTCATATACCTGCTTAATTTCTAACAACAGGTTATCTCACACGGATCGCAGAAAAGCAGTCAAGGTGAGCATTGCCAATAATAGACAACGTCTTAATGTCAACGTATCGTGTCACAGGTCGCAAATATAGTTCCTGGAGTTACCAATGTAGTAAACTGTGTTAGCGGTTTCCTTACGTCATCAGCGTACACTACGATCGATTACGAGTCAACACATGATGTACAGCGAGCTTCATAAAACAAACAAACAAACGACAACTGATGTCCTTCAAGATTACGCTAACAGCGGAAAGCAAGACCATCCTAAAAATCGTTAAGGTACATAGCGAATTATAAACGTCAAATAACATTGCGAAACTGTACTAAGACAGAGAGGATTATCGAAAAATACGAGACCGTTAGGTGCCTTCGATATAATTTTGAAAAAGTGGGATCTCTTAACAAAAACACTGTTGAGGAACTCACTAGACGCCCTTTGTTGCTTGCAAAAACATTTCACGGAAACATTTTCAAATAGAAACAATATGAGGAAAGCTCACCTTAGCTCTGATGATTTTTTAAGCTCGACCTATTCCAAGTTGACGAGTGCTCTCAACGTTACAAAATTGACGATCACAAAGTTCAAGCTAAAGTTTCGCATTGGATTATGTTTGGTAGGATATGGAGGGTATCGCTTATGCAATCGTGTATTGAAAACAAGGACACAATAAGCTTTGAATAACAAAGCTCTGGAAGTGTGAACGATAACTTTATGCAAAAATCCAATTAGTTCCATTGTGGTAACCTGGTAAAAGAAATGGGCTCATTTGCCATAAATGTAGATCAGAAAGCTTTATCGTACATAACACTCATCAGCAACTAACAAACGGCAAACGGACTAACTAATTTAGACATGCTGATCTATTTGCCTATAGTATCATATTCAGAAAAGAGCATCTAAATTAGATTTTATTTAATTCATAGGACGATAATTGTGTTAGTTACAAATAAAAGTAAAAAAAAAAACAAATGTTCTGTATGCTGCTGTAATCGTTATAAACTTCTTCTATTTTGTTTTTAAGTAAATCTAATCAAACGCGCGCGTAAAACTTTATTTTCAAAACACCCCTGTTATCTTTTTGACAATGCGTTCATCAAAATGTTACTAAAATGTGTCTGATAGCGGCTTCCGGCTTTAATTTTTGGAACTATCCATAATTCAATTTTCAAGTACAAGTATTTACCTCTGAATAAGATAGGGAAAGTCCAAGAAGTCAATACAGATATTTAGCTATTCAGTGTACCCCTGCAAGTAATGCTTGACTGAAATTTTCCTCCTAATCATTTATGTAGGCCACTATTGCTCAACATGATAAACATTCGCTATATTTGAAAGTAAGGGCGAAGACCAGGGAGAGCTGTTAGAGACATGGAGCCCAGCTACAGCGTCCGACATCAGCAGATGTTATTTCAAGTGGGCGATTAATGGGTCACCAAATGTTTACTTTAACAGCAGGTCATCGAGGGCCCAAACCAATTCTGCTGCAGTAAGTGACAAAGAGCTCACATAGACATGTCGTTAGTGGGGAGTTGAGTGGTTTTGAGTTATGTTGTCATGACGCGGGACCTGGATGGTTCATCTCAGGTTGGTTTGCTTCTTCTATTTTTTAAAGATACTGCTTTTCGCTTATCGCTTTCTTTTGACATTACGCGGTAAAGTGTTCGACGATAACGTCTCGCGTCACCGTTGCTTATATTAATGATCAGTTGAAATCAGCTGTATTGTAATATGCTCAAACGATTTTTCCGTAATGAATGGTATGGTATTCTAAGTCGTCTGCTTCTAAAGGATTTAGTGAATAGCTATGTAATGGTTCCCTAATCGTTCAACTATTTTTTATTTTTTAGTCCCAGAAATGTAATAATTATAGGGAGATGATGTTACCACATCTAAGATCTATCTCCTCATACGCATCAAAGATAACAGGACCATTATGGTACGTCACAGCGAAGCCGATAGATAAATGATGAAAACACTTCGCTATGGCGAGGGCTTGATCGGATCTTTGTTGGACGTTTTTTTAACTCAATTCGGATATACGACACATCCAGTTTCGACAACTTAATGTGTAATGGCGCTGCAGATAATTCAAAACGCTTTTAACAAACCGCTGTGAGCACAAAAACAAAAAAAGTTATCGCACCCCCTTTGTTTTTTGAAATGTATACTAATTAGCTAAATTTTCATACGCAGCCAAGTAATAACATACGATACAATTATGTAAAAAACGAAGTAATAGAAATATGTATGTTGCGATGAAGTGATTTTTAGTAGCTCGACGATAAAGGAACGTACTGTTCTATACAAAGGCATTACAATCAACGCTGCGAACATTCAAAAATATCTGCGAAGAATTATCTTACATCTCAACTTTATTTTTTTTATATTTATATATTTTTTTATTTATTATATTATATTATATTTCTTTATTTCTAAGATATTTTAGATCATAGGGATGAATTCAAGTGTATATACTCGAACTGCACTGCACTGAGCAGGTCTTCAGAGTGTCTGTCGTATCCAGCAAGGGTCGTGGAATAAATTCTTGTTTTCGTCGTAGACGTATATTGACGATGTTACCCTCTTCTGTTATGGCAAGCACGAGCTGATTTCTAGAAATCGTAGAAGCAAGCGTCTGCCAGTGGAAATAGCGAGTGGGGATGAGAACGACCAATATCTCTATGGCAGTCAATCGTGTATTCAGCTGGGCTATATCTGTTCAAGGACAGCTGGTGAACGGAAACATACTGTGAGATGATTATCAAAAAGCCGAGCATGGGTCTAGTATTCCCCAAAGAGACGTGTTCAATTGCTGCGACAAACTACAAATAGGTAAATATAGCCGAAGAGTTGTTTCTGGGACGCCGTCTCTTGTTGGCGACCTGTTTATCAGTGATACCTTTCGAAGTTCATTTCTTACGAAGTGACCGATAAGACCCACTATGTTGCTATGAGCAAGTGTATCCGTATGAAGAAAAATCGATTTTTCCAAGCGCTTATGAAGAATATGGTTATCACAATGTGTTAGGCACAAATATCAAAGAAAGGCCAATGCATGTGCAAAGCCAGTCGTATTCATGTGACGGCAATAGGCCACAGTGAAGTATTAAGTATCAAGCATCGCAGAGGATGAGTTCTTCTCAGATAAAAACGGTCGGCTGGCATATGCGGATTTTGATACGCGCATATTATTTTTGCGCACTGTATATAAGAACCCTGGTGAGGCATATTGAAGACTAAGTTATTTAGCAAATGCTCCACAAAGGCATGCGACTACAGTTAGCCATAATATAAGTAAAAAGTATATGTCACAGTAAGTAAGAGCGTTATCTCTTTAGCCGACTTAATGTTATTAGTTTATATCAGCTTAGCATTTAGTTATTGTGTGTGTATTTTTTTTTTATGTAATATCACTGAGCGATGTGTGTATGTGCCACGCACAGAGTTCGAACACATCGAAACAACTGTCCAAGCTTATGAAACATTTTTTTTCGTCAAAATATCTATATAATATGATGAATCCCGAGCATAAAATAGAAAGTTTAGCCCAGCTATTGTTTTACTCAAGTAATAGCTGTTTCAGCCATGTTTCATCATACAAGAACCTACGTTCGTCTAAACAAAAGACCGTACCGTTGACCGGGCTTCTGCTTGAACTTGGAAACTGCGCTGCTCTCCATGATAACTATGAATGTTGGACTGTTCGCAGATCTGAACCTGAAAGACGGAGAAGGCGAATGTTTTGGAATAAGTTACAGGACGCTATTCTCTGAAAGTTGGCGGAAAGCATCAAAAGCTTCTTCTAAACACTTCTTTTGCCATGCGATCAGTGCCTCTAGCTATTTGAGCAAAAAAAAAGTTTCCCACACATCTGTTATTATAGTCTCTGCCAAGCTAGTCGACCTAAGTACAGTTAGTACCTATTACTTCTCAAAGGCACGTTAAGTTAATGCCTTGCCGAAAGAAATGTTTATCTGTTGGAATTAAATAACATTTAGTGGGACATTTTACGTATTTAGTATGATGATGGGAATGATTCTGATCTGTTATTGTTAGAGACAGCTTATAGAACAACGTCAACCGTTATTACTGCGACGATCGTTTAGAGTGGGCAAAAAATACAAGGCCTCGATTTAGTATGCAGTGTTATGGACATCACACGAAAAAGCTGCATACCCAATCCGGTCCTGTAATCGTCCAAGCTGACCCGTAAATGACTGTTTGCGAATGTAATTAATAAAAAATGACCAATCCTCTTTACTAATAGCAGAGCTCGGAAACGAATCCGGCAGAATTGACTATAGGCCGCCATGAAAGTTAGCAACGACAAAAAAGCTTACTGTAGTAAAAATTTAGCCGGTAAAAGGTGTGAACAGTTGAAAAATATAAGCACAGATTTTGATGCCCTACAGGCCAAAGTTCAATATGTCAGTAGTTTTTGAGGAAAAAAATCACACAGCGTTTTACAGACTAGCGTGCTTTTAGTTGTTATTGTATATGGCCCTATTTGATCCCACCTACGCAAGACTTAGCAAGTAATAAGTGTTCATATATATATATATATATGGCGCATGGTTCACACTATCACCAAGCGTATCTTGACTTTAAATCATCGAGTTTAAAAATTGAATTTTTCTCTGGATTGCATCATTGTAGTTACCTGCCATTATATCGGCGGCCGGGTTCAAATAATGAAAATATGTGACACGAATCTGAGAAGTGGTTTGTCGGTAACATCCAAACTGGCGCCGTACATCGCCCAGCAGTCTTTCCTCTGGAGGCACGTGAAAGAACTCTTGTCTTGTTCCGCCATTAAGAATCTATTTTCGAAATATAGATGCTCACAGCTTTGATGCTGTGTCAGCTCATAGATGTATTTGTATATTTTTCGCTAATTCAGATATGTGCTATACTATTTCAACTTTGTGTCGAACATAACACTTGTCTATACGTGTATGATAGTATATTATTTGAGTCATCATCGTAGTTGATGTTGATCTCGTTGTCCGGGATGAACGAGAAGAGAAATTAGCGAAGATGGTTGAGGGCTCAGTAAGGGTGACTCGTCTGCCTGTTGGCGCGTCGATCCTGCCTGTCTAAGTGACTGATCTCTTTCTTTTTGTTCCAATCAAGCAATACTCCTTGCTCGTCCGTAGCGGAGGGTCGCATAACGCTCGTGTTTGGTCTTCTTTGGGCTGCCGATCTTTTACTCAGTACCTAACGTCACTGGCTTATAGCTTACAGAAAGAATGGCCTTAACAAAAAAGGCTCCCTGCCCTGGTATTTAGGATCATGCGAATAGATACAGGTTGACACGCGAAGGGTATATCTAACTACTTTGCTACTAGAAGAGAATCTGCAGGAAAACCTATTCGTATATAGACAATACGAGAAACAGGGGGCTGAGAAGTAGAAAAAAGGACAGCGCGTATGAAATAGATCTTTAGACTTGTCGCGTCGTCACGGCCAAGCTCTTTACTCCTGGTCAAAACCGAAGCTTGAGACCGATCAGGCTTTCCACAAGTCACGAGACGCTTTCATCTCCGAACAAGTCAGCGAATCCCGCGCACGTTTGTGCTCACTGGACCGTCACAGGGCAGAGGGGAGAGAACGTTCAGCAGCAGAACGAAGGAGATTTGCCTTTTTTACGGGAGTTGAGATCACAGAGCTCCGTGTCCATAGTAATGTATAGGATGGAATTTTTCTTTTATCACACCAGTCTACCATGAAGGCTTGACTTTATCTGGCGAATACTGCCAATTTCAACTTATGCAGCCATCAATATTATTAAGGAGATCATCGGTAATCAGGGGACTATGGCTTGATGACAATTAAGCTAGCCAAAAAGGAATCAGGCCTATTTAACGTAGATAATCGTTTAACCTGAAGACCAAGTCGGCGTATTATGCCTGTTAAGTTAATCTAAGCTTATTAAATGATTTTTACTAAATAAATCACTTCAGAATTGGAGCCTGGAAACGGATTACTAGACACTATTAGCTAGGTTAGAAAATATAATTTAATATGGGAAGAGAGCGACGTCGGCAGCTAATTCCGAATCCATTGGACTGAATAGATACTATCAGATAAAAGGCTGCGGTGTCAAAACTCAAAGAAAATTTAGGAAACACTCTGTTAAACATAGGTAAGGGCTCATGCACAGCATAAATACTCTTGAACAGGTACTGTACAGCCAAGGGTCTACAGTGAGGTGCCGAAAATTTGCTACGCCCTTGTGAGGTCACAGTTCTATCCGACTAGTTCCAAAGGTGCCCTTAACAACATCTAAAAAGAATGGTGGCTGGAAAATACTAGTTTTCGCTAAGTCAGTTCGCTTTTTCCTAGTGGCGGCAATGAGATGACTGGCAATATGCACGCGGTGGTGCACTGACGAGTGGATGGGTGGGAAACCGGAGTTGATATAAAGCTGGGATGGAAAAGTGAGTTTGAGACTTGGAGCGTCTGGGTAAGATTTGCGGGTGATTGACCCACCCAATAAATGGTGCCTAAAGCGCGACATTTACACGTACTTACGAGAAACGATCCAAGTGTGCTTTTACTCGCGTGTGCGGGAAACAAGCACATACGACGAATTCGAAGAACGACTCTACAGCAGTTTTTTTCCAAAGAAAGACGGATCGCCTGATCGGTTCCTTTGCGGCTATAGGAGGAACGGGAAGACGTTGTGTGTACCAAACGAGCTTAGCTGGATAAGCTGGAGATCAAGCCCGAATTCCGCTTGTTCCTGGTTAACGTATGGGCAACTGTAGAATAGGCTACTTCGACTAAATTCTTTTCAGCGACAAAAGTCTGTTCCTAAGCCGATGTAGTTCGAGTAGTCTGAGATTATATGCCGGAAGAGCCTGACACCCGCTTCCGGAAACTCAACCAGCAACGAGGGAAGGCTGGTTGCTGTCAGGAAGGCTGGTTGCTGTCAGGAAGGCCTGCTAACGCCGAGGGTCTGCAAGTAGAAATTACGCTTGTCAAGGCAACGCAAACTAAAATGCTAAACTCCGATTTTGTCTGCTAAATATTCCTAAACAGCTTTGCAAATAATTCCTTTATAGCAATCGTGCAACAAGCAACATTGGTAAGTAACGATGTCCTTCAAATCAGCTTCGCACAAAAATCTAGCGGAATCAAATTTGAGCGGGAATGGATCATATATTCAATAATTCAAAACGACCAAGAGGTGCAAAAAAAGGCGCAAAAGATCTCAAAAAGACTAATCGTTAGACCTCGATATAGACAATTCGCTGAGCAATAAGCACTCTCCTTTAGAAAACAGTCGTTATCTGAGATGGCTTTTATAATATTTCGATACATTTTCGCAGCGCCTTAAATCTAATGCTTATAGAGGACCTATTGCTCTTCTTCATGACGATCTGTTTTCGATTTTTAGGAAGCCGCATTGAAACCGGTAACAAGGCAGATTATCAATTCTAAACAAAAAAGAAAAATTATAATCTCGGTAGGAACCCGTATCGCACGAAGAGATTAAATAATAGTTAATCCTTGTTTCAACTGCAAAAATAACACGTAGTTTTTTTGTCATGATGAAGCGTGGTTTTCATCTAGCGAGCACTGACTGAGCATCCTTCTCATACCAAAAAAGAAAAGCCAATACATGAACGTGTTCCGTAATAAACGATCCCACAAAGTTTGTTCCCATTTACGCGGGATATACTGTATACGGGGTAATCCAATATCGATGTATCATCTCCACTCAAGTGTCACACACATACAATCAGGTTTCAACAACAAGATAGTGTTAACAAGTAAAGCTCCTTTTATTATGGAGTTCATAGACGTAGAGATTATCGACCTTCTTTTTAACAACCGTTACTCAAAGGCTCAATAGCACGGTGGTAAACACGCTGAAGTTTTAATTCAAAGTGTCCTATTTTGTTAAAGTTATTACTATACGTACAGAAAAATAGCATTTCTAGGGAAAAATACCATATATTGTAATTATATATGGATTATATGTCTTACTATATACTATATTTGTTATTAATATAGTATATAAGAAGACATATAATCCATGAAACCAAATTGTTAAACTGTTGTTGTACTAAAAACTTTACCATGAGCAGAAAAAGGAGTTCAAGATAAATTAATTAATTTGTTTAGTATGTATGAATCTTATTAAAGTTCTGGGCGCAAATAATTACCACGGTTCGTCTTGCGAAGCGAATTGTTAATTCAGGAGCTATTGAGAAATATGAACATTTTCTCTTCGTGCCGCGTAAAATTGCGCGTAAGGTACTATCTAGTGAGCCTGCGTAAAGACTTCAATTTGTGGGCCTAAAAAGGTCAGTAGGCAGGGCAGCTCAGCCCTGTGGGCAATGTAAAGCCTTGTGATTTATAAGGCATCATTTTAAAAAGAATTATTATCGAAGAGCAGCTGCAACGGTGTCCTAGTTTTGTATAAAAAATAATTTTCTCAAGTAAATCGCAAGCAAAACTATCACATATAAGCATACCAGAACCCTCATTCTATATACGAACAAGTATTATGATCCAAATAACCATATGGTATGGATGGAGGAACAAATGTCATAGGGCACTTTTCCTATTTAACTGTTGATTACTCTCGTTCTATATGCATGGTAAACTTCCGGCAGTCAAAATTGGGTATTATTAACTCTGATAGTATCTAGTTGTAACCAAACATTGCCAATCGCCACCACGCATCGAATCGCTGAATTTATCGAAGGAAAAGTTAGGTAAACACTCCATTTTTCATTGGACCCCTAGGCCACAGCACCCTCGTTCCTGCCGCAGAACCTGTTCAGTAAGTTTTTTTGAAAAGTCTTTAGGCATAAGCCTTCTGTGTATCCGGCACGAAGGTTTGGCAACACGCTTGATTCACATAAATATGCTATCGAGTTCTACATGTTTTCATTCGGTGCTTACAAAGGAATCCTAAATAATTGCCTGACTGACCTAACATTTAAATCATGGCTCAAGCTTACCATGTGGTCCTGTTTTAGGTGCACGTTTTGCAAAGCGGCGCCATTTATCGCAATCCAAGACTGACACATCGGTAGTGGATAGCTCTATATATATACATACATACATATATATATATATATATATATATATTGAAGCTATATTATAAAGAGACTTTGTAATATATGGTTTTTTGATGTGTAGGGTACAGCTTGAACCAATCGTGTCCGATCAATAACGAAGCTATAGTCGCCACGTTATAGCTTAATAGCAGCCCTGTGGCACGGACGAATAGTACGCCGTCTTTTAAAAGCTATCGAATGCATAAACGGAGCGGGATGTTTCGGGTTTGACACGCTACCATGCTAAAAAAAAAGTATATGTATATATTTATATTTTTGCAATAGTCCTAACCTATAGAAGAAGGTACAAGTACACTATTACAAGATGAAATTAATATTATGTAATTATGCTGGTATTTCTAATTTTATTTACTTTCTTCTAACTATTGATTCATTTTTAGTGGCATAAGACTGAATGAGCTCAATTCGAATATAAGGGTCGACAACTTGAATTTAAGGAGATAACTTTTCCAAGCTGTTTCCGTGAATCAACAGATGGCGCCACTACCTACGAAGTCCCTGTAAACATGTCGAACCAATATGTTACTCAATCGACTTTTTGTATACACACACCTTTAAATTTATATATTTTTACTGCCATAGGAAGTACCACAGTGGTCACGGTAGTAGCGGATTCTCCAGAGAAATAACTGTAACATATTTTAGCGGACGAATGAAAACGGCAAAGGTAGCCGATGCTATTGGATTTGAGCCACTTGTGAAGATCATATTTTCAGGTATTCATTCATAAAGCTTGAACAACAAAGGTTAACAAGCCAATGAGTTAATGTATTACAAGATCTTATATAGTTATGGTATAGTGTACGTGAGGACCTTTCTGAAAGCTTCTTATATCAAAAGAACGATATAACAGGTTTGCCACACTTCTTGCCATTACGATTTGAATTTTGAGAAAAGAAGACAGTGATTTATACTTCGCCAAATATAACTTCCGATAAAGCTCCGTTTGCTATTCAGTTCAGTATTATTACAGTTTATTAAAAAAAAAAAAAAAAAAATACATATATTTTGTACAGACATATATTTCGCATATTTCTTCGTGTGCTTTCTTAAGTAAGAGAATTATGGATTGTCATTATTTATGCCACTAAATGAAACTTTGAGCCCATCTTTGACATTTTTCCAAGGATTCCATAGTTTATCATAGCGTTTCAATTTGGCCTAATGCTATTTCCTTCTAATAGGGTTAGTACTGAACCAATTATGCCATTGAACTAAAATTTTTGCACGAGTGCTTCGTCTCTAAACTCTGGGTGACCTCGTGAGCCTCTGATTGTTAACGCAGCAAGTGAAGTACAGAAATACACTCGGTCAGAACAGATGTTCTGTGAAACCTTGCGGTTTTTCTATTCTAGTTAAAAGATTATTGTGAAAACAGTGTATTTTTTAACTCGAAAAAAATGTGGCTGCTCTCAAAATCACATAGCGGCATGATTATATAAAACGAACTATTAAAGGTAGCTGAGTGAATAAGTTCAACATTAAATGAGTAATTTTCGAGGCAGTATTTGTAAACCCTTTTCTTCGGCCAAGGCAAACTCAGCGGCCACCAGCAAAAAAAAAAACAAAGTCCTTGTCGATCTAGTATACCCTACAAATATCATGGAATTGCGCGATATTGACTGAGACGATTACGTACGGCTAGAAATCTAAGAAAGCTAGATTCGCTATAATTGCCCCAGCACTCTTAGGGGGCAGCCTATCAAAGAATCCTTCGATTATAACTCATATATACAGCGGAATCGGTATTGTGCTATGATGGTGATGTATCATGCCAAATTTACAGGAAATGGTTTTCGATAATACTCGAGAGATTACTGTTAAATATTGCAGTATCGAAATGCATCTATTCGGCATGCTGGTCAGATCAATTGTACCTGTTTACCTCGTTGGTTGCCTACCAATAAAGGTAAAGGGCCTGTCCCCACACAATTCTGATGAAAATTCAGACAGTAATTTGGCCTTAGATTTCAGCTGGACTAGCCAAAAAGGACCTACCTCAGGTAAGATGATTTTCGACGACCGGTTTATCGGTTAAGTGAAGTAATTATTAGGTCAACATTTCCGTCATTATTGCTAGGCAATATGGAAGGTTTCCGAGGAACAAATGGCCGAAACAGCTACTTTGTCTAGGATTGAACTAGTCCATCTGTTTATTGTATTAACTTGTGAGATATTGTGGTAACTTCATAAGGATGCTCATTGTGCTACGGATGGCGCAGCCCCGGCTACATGCAATCGGCTTCAGATGTTTACCTTAAACAATCTGCAAAGCTAATCCGCTTTCATTTGTAAATCTAAACGAGGCGTCGCTCATTCAACTATCTTCTTTTACACCATCTAATACCGGTAGAATAAATATTACCTATGCCTTTCAACTATTAGGTTATGTGAGGATGTTGACTTCGTCGATAGAATTAAGGAACTTATTATTTCTATCTTATCTGTTTAAGTAGCTGTGCCCAAAGGAAGAATCGAGCCTATTTTGGTCGCAGTGAATTATGACTTTGTATGTATAACAACTTAGCAACACGGTCATTGCCTCATGTCTGTGGTGCTACGACATGGCTTCTTTTACTCCACGTAGTAATTCTGTTGCATGCGGGAATTCATGCAGGGTTTTAGGAGCAGGCAGAACCACTGGAAAATCCAGAAATGCAATGGAAATATGTACGGGTGTGAACGGATAGAGCCGTTCTTTGCTAAAGGACTGTATACATTACTTCTAGCGTGCAAAATCGATTGAAGCGGAGAAAATCCAATAACGACTTAAAGTACCTGAAAAAAATAACACTTACAGAAAAAAGAAAAAAAAAACAATCTGATACAGAAGATAGAGGATTATTCAAGAACTCTGTCATTGCAAAGACGTACTTATTCACACGTACGAGCATTATTGGTTTTCCTTTATCTAGAATGCTTAATCAGATGTAATTATTGCATGGATATGAACACTTCAAACCCTAAACATTCAGAGTAAATCTTTGAACTTCGAGGGCTGCCAATGAAATTGCTCCCCTAAGCCTCGATCCTTGAATATGTGACATAGAAAATATTTACTTTGTTTTTTTTTTATTGAACTTGATAAATTGTACGGCCAATGAGATCTGTTTAGAACTGTGGACAACTGCGACACAAGCAATTAGTGCTATCTTGCTTCGCTATAGTAATATATATATATATATATATAATTTTTAAGTACAATAAAGGAAGTAGCAAAAACTATTTTATTACATTAATACTACCTAGCGAAATTATATCAATTATTTAGGTTATCAAAAGCACAAGTAAACTTAAATAGGTGGAAACCGAATTAAACGTTTCATAGTTCAGACCATTATTTGTCCCCATTGTTTATGCCTGATCTGGTAAAATGAATCGCACAAAGTACATTTATTGCTTTTTTCTCACGTTAACGATGGAAATGATTGGTTTAGCCTTACTCGTTTTTTTGACCTGAAGGTGAGGCGCAGGACAATTGTTTTCAGCTCACACTACGTAATCAAAACCAGTCTGTGGTCAATGGTCTTCTGCACCGCTTTGATAGATTTCTGTTCAGGCCGCACAGCATCGCTAACTTCTTGGTCATTGGCAAGGCCGTTTCGCCGCTGTCGCAAACTTTAGAAGCTCTAATTTTTTGCTTTGACGCCGGTGTACACTTCGTCGTTGCATTGTGCGTAACTTGCGCGCCTCAGCTTTGTACTGCTTATCACTAGTTCTAATCTCGCTAGTTCCTTATTGTTTGCTAAGAAAAGACCGCGATGAAAATTCAATACACCGTTTGTGTAACGCCCGAACGGAGATACGTATCGGGCCTTATACCTGGGCATTGTATGCAAAAAAAACCTATCCATGCATCGTTATCGTTTATTGATTTATATAATAGCCTTAGCCATGAACTTCATCACACGTTATATATTCTGTTATAATATGCATGTACACTATGTTTCTCGTACTTCTAACTCTGCAGCTCGTCTTTAACAATGACTACAAGTATATGTGCCCCCTCTGAACTTCTAGGTATGATCGTATCTCGGATCGGAGAACACTTCATTTATATGTGCATAAATAGGTACTTTTCTTTTACAACAGAACTTTCAAAAGGCTTTCATTTGATTCATATAAATAGCCAAATGCAGAATATGGACCGTACCGTACATCCATTTTAATGAAACATATGAAATAAGTAAATAGAAACATCAGTTTTTATTATTTTACAATACACGGAGCTTTTTTAGTGGAAGCGTGTCTTCGCAAGTTTATGCCCACTTACGCATAACGAGCGATACGTCATCTGTTATCATCTGCCAGAATGCAGTAATATGGAGTAATCAAAAAAAGCGAACGCGAGAAGAACTAGCCAAAGAAGTATTCGGGACTAGGTCTTTTTTAAAATAAAATTCTTAATTTACCAAGAAGCTAGTCTCAGCCGACGTTCTAGCACGCTTCGATCATCTTCTGAAACCTAGCTGGCCTTTTGAATCGTCAAAAAACGCTCCGCTCATAGTGTAAGGCTGGAAGCTTCCGGTTTTAGTCTCCGTCAACCCTTTTTAACATGAACCTCCTTTGAAATTAAATAATTAACCTTTCCAAAACGTTTTATTATATTTCAGTATTTCAACAGCTTTACTTGAGGAATTGTATCCCGTCATTAAATATGAATATATCGTGTATTTGTGCTTTATGCCCAAACGATGTGTTCAATGATTTTACAAATGTATTTATTAAACATTTTTATTTGTCGGAAAAATATTCTATTAAACAAACGTCATAAACTGATAATCGCTCTGCTTTCTTGCAAAATTAGCACCATGAATCACCGTGGAGTCTGCTGCAAGCAGCTGGGAACAGGCAGATCCAAAGGAGTACGTTAAGATTAATTTGTCGAAACATTTGTTTATCTGCGAGAGTTGATTATAGTTCGCGGCCG